ATACTGAAGTGAGATACTCCTTTAGTATCTCACCCATTTCCTGCAGTTCCACACATAGATGGTCTTGTTGATCTTTAAGGGGCCCTATTCTCTCCCTAGTTACCCTTTTGTATTTAATGTATTTGTAAAATCTCTTTGGATTCCTTAACTCTATTTGCCAAACCCAAAGCTATCTCATGTCCCCTTTTTGCCCTCCTCATTTCACTCTTGAGTATAATCTTATTGCCTTTATACCCCTGGAGGGATTCACTCGATTCTAACTGTCTATACCTGACATATGCCTCCGTCTTTTTCCTGACCAGAGACTCAATTTCTCTAGTCATCCAGCATTTCCCACTCCTAACAGCCTTTTTCAGTGCTGAGTCCTCTCTACGCTGCTTTCAAAATAAACAAATTAATCCATCAGTTCATCTTCTATGTGACTTGCATATTAATTGATTTAGTGGTATAGCAAATGATGGACAGTGGCAGGGGTTCATTTGAGTCCATATAAAAATAGTTACAATTTACCAAAATACTATGAAAAGAAATTTATTGAGACTGTGTAGTTGAGTGAAAAGGTGTAGGTTTTTTTTAATCAACCTGTTCAGAGAGATGTTATGACATCCCCCTGGGTCAAGAAGGACACTAACAATATACCAAGAGAGCCTCAACTTAACTCTTTGAATATAACCACGTAAAGACTATACATATAAATACATTGGCTTCAGAATGGGTTAGAAACCAGGAATCCTATAATGAGTAACTCATCTCCTAACTTCCTAAAGCTTGTCCACTATCTACAAGTCACAGGTCAGGAGTGTATTGGAATACCTCCACTTTCCTGGATGAGTGCTCCACGACACTCAAGATGATTGATACTATCCAGGACAAAGCAACTCAGTTTATTGGCATCACATTCACAGACATACACTCCCTCCACCACTGACACTCAATACCATCTACAAGAGACACTGCAGAGATTCACCAACAATCCTTAGTTAGCACCTTCAATACCCATGTCCATTACCATCTAGAAGGACAAGGACAGCAAATACATGAGAACACTACCATCTGCAAGTTTTTCTCCAAGACAATCACCATCCTGAGTTAGAAATACATCACTGTTCCATCTTTGTCATAGAATCATAGAATCCCCATGATGTGGAAGCAGGCCATTCAGCCCACTGAGTCCACACTGAACCTCTGAAGAGCATTCTACCCCAACCCACCCCATCCCTGTAACCCTACATTTCCAAAGGCTAATTCCTCTAACCTGGACACCCTGAACATTACGGGCAATTTAGCATGGCCAATCCACCTAACCTACACATCTTTAGACTGTGGGAGGAACTGGAGCATTGGGAGGAAATCCACTCAGACATGGGGAGAACATGCAAGCTCAACACAGTTGCCTGAGGAATTGAACCCAGGACCCTGGCACTATGAGTCACTTGGACAAAATCCTGTAAGTGCCTCCCTAACAGATTTGTGGGTCTACATTGTAAAGACTACATTTTTTCTCTGTATTTTTGATTGTGGTCAAATGGGAAAAGAATCAATTTAAATCTAGACTATGGAAAGAAATGCTGAAATTTTGCAAATAAGTCATAGGAACTAATTGGGAGTTGTGTTTACACTGTGGCCACTGCAAGCAGTGGGGGAATTGAGATAAGATGTCAAGGCACTGGGTGTATGTGCAGAGTGAGATTCAGCTGGCAAGAGTTGGCTGATTGGTTTGTGTAGTTGTGATTAGCTGTGACTGTGAAACGTCATCAGCTTCATGACAAATCTCTAACGGGTTCCTCGGTAGCTGGTGTGTGTAAGGGATACAGGAACAGAAGTTAAGATTGGAAGAAGCAGGGTTGGTCTCTATAACTCTCCGAAGCAAATTAACTCAAGCCTGGAGACAGTTAGTTACTCTCTCCCACTATTTGTTAAAAGCTGTTGCCTCTAACCAGTGACTTGGAACAGAACAGTTAATGTGTCAACTGTCGTGTCTTCGGCAAAGAACTGAGAATTTCCCAGGAAGGACATTGAAGAAAGGAAAGTCTTGGGAAGGAAAGGAATCACCTTATCTAAGCCTTAAACTGGAGCTATTGAACAGTGCTTCCCCAGTACTTTTTCTCCCTGATAACACCAATTTGTGTGTGTGTGTGTGTGTGTGTGTGTGCGTGTGTGTGTGTGTGTGTGCGTGTGTGGGAATTTTAATAGAGTGTGAGAGTTTTATTTAATAGTCATATGTTGCTAGTTTACAGCTATTCACTTATGCTTAGAATTAACTACTTATAATAAATAACAGTTCTTGTTAAATATAAGAACGTTGTCTGTATTTTCTGTTAACCAGATCAGACCGGTAAATTGATTGTTTCTGTACTTTGATTAAATAGAGTCATAGAGATATACAGCATGGAAACACACTCTTTGTGCCAGCTGTGGGATTAGTGGGGCTTGAGAATCAGCAGACTTTCCCAAATAGGTCATAACAACATGGACTGCTGCATTTCAAGAAGGTAGCTCACCAATACCTTCTCAGTGACAACAATGGAATGGGAAGCAAATACTGGCCCCTACTAAAATTCACATCCCTTGAACAAAAAAAAAGACCAACTTTCGTACAATCTTTCACCAAATGGATTTTTAGATTAAAACATACCAAGAGAACATGATTATTGTAGCATCAATGCCTTTTTTGTATTCATTCATGGATGTGAACACTGTTGGTAAGGTCAGCATATCTTAATTGTTCTTGAGTTGGTAATGCTGATTCACAAGCAACCTGAGCTGTTACAACTTTTTTAAGGGTTAGTTATTATGTAGATTGATGGGGTGAATTTTAATACTCAAACACACATGGCATGTGGTCAGGTAAAATGCCAAAAAGATCAAAATAGGAGGTAGTTGCAGGTTTGATGGACACTGGACAAGATACAGGTTGGCAATTTAAATATTTTAATGGGGCTGGGAACCTCTGATTGAACAGATTTATTCATAGCTAGTCCAGGTTCAGAAAAAGGGTCACTGGACTCAAAACATTAACTTTGTTTTCTCTTCACAGATGCTACCAGACCTGCTGAATTTCTCCAGCAACTTCTACTATTAAAATATTATTGGGATTCTATACACATCATGGCATTGAGTATAATGATAGGCAAGTTATGCTGCAGCTTTATAGAACTTTAGTTAGGTCACACGTGGAATATTGCATACAGTTCTGTTCACCACACTACCAGAAGGATGTGGATGCTTTGGAGGCAGTATGGAAAAGGTTTACCAGGATGTTACCTGGTATGGGGGATTTTAGCTATGAAGAAAGCTTGAATAGATTGGGTTTGTTTTGACTGGAACACAGGAGGTTGAGGGGTAACCTAATAGAAGTTTATAAGATTGTGAATGTCATGAGTAAAGTGGAAAGTATGAGACTTTTTCCCAGTGTGGAGGGGTCAATTACTAGGGGACACAGATTCAACCCGCAAGGGGGGCAGTTTAAAAGAGATGTGCAAAGCAAATTTTTCACAGAAAGGATGGTGAGTGCCTGGAACATGCTGCCAGAGGAGGTGGTGGAAGCAGACACAACAGCAGCTTTCAAGAAACATCTGGATGAATGCATAAATAGGAAGGGAATAGAGGGACACAGATCCTATCAGTGAAGAGAGTTTTAGCATGGAAGGACAAAATGTGGCGGCACAGGCTTAGAGGGCCTAAGGGGCTGTTCCTGTGCCGTACTGCTCTTTGTTCTTTATATAATTTGTTTATATTAATGGGACTACTTCCTGAGTCAGACAAATGCCTTGGCTGCCAAGTGGAAGACCTTAAGAAAAATGTTAGAGGTTTGGGGCTGGTTGGTGTTTCTGTACCCATATGTAATACCTGCCAACACATCCTCTTCCACTGATTCTGAAAAGTCTGCTATCAATTCACCCTTTCATCAAAATTAAACATTTTTCATGTACTGTTGTATGATAGAGCTTGACTCCAGCATGCTAAGCTAAAAGCAGCTTGATTCAATTACAAACAAGCTGCTAAATGAAGACTCCATAATTAAAGAAAGCAAATCATTCCAGCTACTATTCATCCATCTCATCTTCCATTATGCCTTTTCTTTGCAGGTGATAGTATTCCTGTCTGAAATGAAATACCCTGAAAGATGAGCAGTTCTTTAGTTCAGTTCCTTCAGCTAAAGGTCACACTGTAAACCTCCACTGTGTTCTATTTCAAGCCCAGTTATCACAGTGAAGCTGGCACCAGATGTTAAGGGTATAAAATTGTTAATTACCACATTCATTTTCTTATTACATGAAATGAGTGAGTGTTTGTTATGATCGATCATTTGAGAAATAGTGAGGTTTTATCTCCCCATCGTCGAGTCACATTCTAAGGGAAAGGGAATCATGTAATATTGGATTGAGGACAGAAGGGATGGGGAAAGGAGGGTCTGGTAAACAACCCTCTACAGTATGGTCTCAGTTTCACAGAATTCTACTGAATGTTCCTTCAGGGCTCACAGATGTAATCTGTGTTGCTGCAACCCTGAGCCCCTTCTGACTGCCCAATTGTATCTCTTCAGTGGCCCCTTCCCTGAACTTGACCCACTGAAGAGCCCATAATCCAGCAAGCTGCACAGCCTGATGTTCATGGGGTAATGCCTGGTGCTCATCTTGGCTGAGAGGATGGGAGGCTCTGCCATGTCTGTGCAAACTCCAAGACAGTATTTAAAAAAAAAGTCAGTGCAAAATCAGTGCAATGAGAAGTCAAACACTGGAACATGCATTCAGTGTCTTCCCTGTACGACATCAAACCTTTCATGGTTTGAGTGTAGAAATCTGTTTCCTTACACGGTAAATAAGAACCAGCCTTCAGTCATTGGTAATAGACCAACCAGGAGTAAGGGTTTTGTTTTGCGTAGCAACCTGTATTGCTGTTGTCACCTGACAAGCCTGTGAGCCAGCCAACTCTGTTTTTGATGGCAATCTTTTGTTCTTGTTTTCTAAGAGAATTATTAGTTTACGAGCAGCCGAGCAAGCTGGAGAGTTGCAGCTATTTCTTCATCTGCAATAGAACAGTAGACCAGCCGTCAAGCTGACAAACAGGACTGGTTTCTTCAATCATATAGTGTGGTGTACTGGCAACGGCTGCAGTTAGGGGAGAAATAGAAAGCCTCCCGGTCTCTGGGAGAATATCTGCAAGACTGATTTCTAAAGAAAACTTACTTTCCTCTTAATGGGAAAGTCAGATCGTATCAAATTTCTTAAGTGCCTGGAGATACAGTTGCCTGGGGTCCTGAGGCTGATCAAGCTGGCGTGCTTTAAGTGCGTTTGACAACAAAAAAAATGAAGCTTGCAGTGCTGGACCTGGGAACCATATTTGCAAATATTTTCAAGACTTCCGCTTCTCCTGTTATCCCGCCAGCTGGTTCCTCAAACAGTGGACCATCAACAGCACCTCATGGACCATCAGCGATATCAGTATCTTCATCCAAAGCAACGCCTCTCACTTCTTCCTTGTCCAGTGTCTCAGGGAAAGCCTCCGGACTTTCTGGAAGTGGCTCTGCTCCGGGCAGCCCTGCCACTGTCAAAAACAGCAGCGCCGCTCTTCAAGCGTCAGCTTCTGTGCCCAAGTCAGCCGGCCTGAGTGTAGGGACTGCAAATCAGATAGCAGCCCGGGCAGCTCCGAGCTCCAGCCTGGCCAGTTTAAATGCAGTGAAAACCATGCCAGCTCAGACCGGATCAAACAACAGTATCATTTCTGGCACGGGAAGGTCCTCGGTATACTCGGTTGAGGATAGCGTTACGTGGAAACTGTCGAACAAGCAACATCCCTTCACTTTGCCCAACATCGGCGAGGAAGGACTCACCGATACTGATTCAGCAGAAAGTAGCAGTGAAAAGTAAGGAGATTGCATTCTGTTGGGGGAAGGGAGAAATGTGTTGTTAGATTTTCGTTTTTAAAATGCAGATTTATTTTGAAGAAGTCTGCTTAGCAGACGCTCCAAATTTAATAGCCTGTTTCCACTTCTTCCCCTCATCCAATGATTCCTCTAGGTCCAAGGGCTATAATTAACTTCTCCTTGAATGTTTTGGTTTTGACAGCTTTCTGTAATGGTGAATGCCGCAGGCTCACCACCCTCTGAGAGTAGGAATGTCTCCTCACCTCAGTCCTTACATGATTTACCCCGGAACCTTCAACTGTAACCCATGGTTCTGGACTCCCCCGGATCCTTCCTTCGTCTACCCTGTCGAATCCTGATAGAATTTTATAGGTTTGTATGAGATCCCCAAAGTTTGATGCCTAGCATTTGGCACAGTACTCCAGCTGGGGCAGTTTTTTGTTACAAAGGTTTTTGTTATAAAAGTTCACCATGACCTCCTTGATTTTGTATTCACTCTCTTTTAAGAATCCGAAGATCCCATGTGCCTCAGTAACTATTTCCTTAAACTGTCCTGAAACCCTCAATGATTTGTACATGTATAAACCCAGGTATTTCTCCCTCTGCAACCCCTTTAGGATTTATTTCACAGGTAAAAGAAGCCAGTCGGTGTGGTGCATTTTAATTTCAAGAAGAATTTTGATAAGGACCCACATAAGTGGGTAATGGGCAAAATTAAAGCATGTCGGACGGGGGGCAATATTCTGGCATGGATTATGAATTGATTGACAAACCAGAAACACAGTCGGAATAAATCTTTCCAAGTGGTGATTGGTGGTGTAATGCAGGGGTCAGTGCTGGGCCTCAGCTATTCATGATTATTATAAACTCAGTATGAGGAAACCAGGTACAAAATTTCCAAGATTGGTCATGACCTGAGACTAGATGGGATTGTGTTGATGATTCAAGGAGGCTTCTAGGCAGGTTGTGTGTGAAAACACATTGCAGATGCAGTATATTGTGGATAACTGTGAAGTTTTATGCTTCAGTGTGAAATACTGAAAAGAAGAGTATTATTTAAATAGTGATGTGTTCGGAAGTTTGGATATGTAAAGGGATCTGCATATCCTTGTTGACCAATTAATGTAGACCAGTTAAGAAGGCAAGTGATATATTGGCGTTCATTGCAAAATGATTTGAGGTCCGAAGCAGGGATGCCATACCAGGTATACAGGACCTTGGTGAGATGGCACCTGGAGTGTTGTGTGCAGTTTTGGTCTCCCTGCCAAAGACTGTATATACTGGCCAGAGGGAATGCAGCAGAGGTTCACTCGGATGATACCGGGGTTGGCAGGACTGTCATATGAGGAGAAATTGGTTCAACTGGGCCAAACATGAGAGTTTAAAAGGATGAAAGGGAATTTTGATTGGAAATTATAAAATTCTAACAGGCCTGGACAGACCAGATGCAGGGAGGACATCTTCCCTGGTTGGGTAATCTCGAAGTAGGGGTCATAGTCTCAGGATAGGATGGCTAATCCACCTAACCTGCACATCTTTGGACTGTGGGAGGAAATAGCAGCACCCAGAGGAAACTCACACAGACACGGGGAGAATGTACAAACTCCACACAGCCCACAGCTGGGATCAAACCCAGGTTCCTGGTGCTATGAAGCAGCAATGCAAACCACTGTGCCACATTGCCACCTCAAAGCCTTTTTCTTAATCTTTGCTGATTGTGTGGCCTAGCTATCTCTTACACTTTATCACTAATGCCCTGCATTTCTTTCCATGCCCTCTTGTTTTGTCTTTCCATCCCTTATACTGTTTCTGTACATCAATGAATCTTCAGCATTTTCCCCTTTTACTTCTTACTAAAAGCACTGAAAACTGAAAAATCAGTCCTTAAATAGCTGAAACTGATTCAACTTCTGAGTTTTTTGTGATCTGTAAATTTTGGGATTGTGGGCTGTACACCCCAATCTAGATTTAGGGGAGGCAGTGGCCTAGTGGTATCATTGCTGGACTGTTAATCCATAGACCCAGATAATGTTCTGGGGACCTGGGTTCAAATCATAGCACGACAGATGGTGGAATTTGAATCTACTAAAAATCTGGAAATAAGAGTCTAATGATGATCTCAAATCCATTGTCGATTGTTGGGGAAAAACCCATCTAGTTCACTAATGTACTTTAGGGAAGGAAACTGCTGTCCTTACCTAATCTGTCTGTGTATGACTGCCAACTCACAATGTGGTTGACTCTCAACTGCCCTCTGGGGAATTTAGGGATTGGCAATAAATGCTGGCCTAGCCAGTTACACCCTCATCCTGTGAATGAATTTAAAAAAAGATCATTGATACACTTTAAGAAAAGCAATGGCCCTAATGCCTACGCCTGGAGAGCCACACTATATTCCTTTCACAGTATGAAACATTATTCACTACTATGCCCTGTTTCTATAGTCCGAATTTTCCTGGTGTTAAGTTGGAGTAAGTTTTTGCTCATCTACTATTGGATGTTGAGCAGGCAGTTCGATAATTTAAATTCAGTGGAGAGGTTGAAGAAGGTGTTTGAAATGGAGAGTTTGGTGTTATTAGTGTATCGTGGAAACTGACTGTTTTTTCAGTTGTTCGTGCCAAGAGACAGTATGTGGATGAAAAGTACAGTGAAAGTCCCTCGTTGGGGTACAACGAATTGGGATATGTCATAAATGAACCAAGTCAGAAGTCACATGATGCCAGGTTACAGTAAAACAGATTTATTTGAAATCACAAGCTTTTGGAGCGTAGCCCCTTTGTCAAGTGAAGTGAGAGAGAAGTACACAGATCCAGAAATAATGGGCAGAGAAATCAAAAGATCATGCAAATGGTGTGAGTGGAGTATCAAATAATAAGTCCCTGCAGGTGATCCAAAGTGTTAGTGTGAGTAAAGTGTCAACAGCTGAATAACAAGCGAAGGGATTTCATGTTGTTCCAGTCACTTGGTTTGTCTCCAGCATCACCTTATTTTTAATTTTTTATAATTATCCCTCTGCCTCATTTAATTGGATTATAGGTTATCCTTCGCTTGTTATTCATTTTTACTCACATGGTCTAACACTTTGGATCACCCGCAGGGACTTGTTATTCGACACTCCACTCACACAATTCGCATGATCTTTCGATCGCTCTGCCCTTGATCTCTCTGCCCATAAATTCTGTATTCTGTGTTCTGTGTGCTTCCCTCTCACTTCACCTGATGAAGGAGCGTCACTTTGCAAGCTTGCGATTTCACATAAAGCTTGTGATTTCAAATATGCTGGTTAGACTATAGCTGTGTCGTGTGACTTCTGACTTTGTCCACCCCAGTCCAACACCGGCACCTCCACGTCATAAATGAACCATGGACAGATGATCCCACGCAGGAGCAAAAAAAAAATTCAGTGGTGTGAACTGGGGTAAGGGTTAAGAAACTCAAAGCATCTTCTGACCCTTCTCATAGCAAAGGAGAAGTAGAGGTGGGATTTGGAGAACCTTTTCTGTCTGATCTGATATTTGTGGGACGTTGTGCTGTCAGCAAATTTATGGTATAATCATCCATATGATATTGGAATTCCTCTGGGGTCACCGGAGGTGAGGGTGTTGGAGCAGGAATTGAAACTGTTGCAGGTCGTTCTCCAGCTATGACTAGATTGAAAAGAATGGACTCCCAAGTGACAGCAGTCCCACTTGACTGGAAGACAGGGGAAAAACGTTTGAAGGGAAATTGTTTGAGAAAACGTAGAAAATAGGACCTGTGGTATAGGATAGGATGTGGAGGAATAGTTTATCTTTGTTACAGTCAATTGGCATGTCACTTCTGAGTTTGATAAGAGTTGCTTCAGTGTTGTGGCAGGGGCACGAAACTGATTGGGAAGACTCAAGTAGGAAGTTCTAGGAAAACAGGGCACAGGTATGGGAGGTGACAACACGTTTAAGAACTTTGTTGGACATTTTGCAATTCAGATCAATACATTCGCTCCCATTTTAATGGGATGAGTGGACAAAAGGTATGCCATGGAAGTAAGGCTGTGTAAATAACAGGCAAAAGGATGTTCCTTGTCAACTAGTACTTAAACTAAAAGCAAAAAACACTGGAAATATTCAGCAGCTCAAGCGATATCTGTGGAGAGTAACGGAATTAGCATTTCAGGTCTATGGCGCAGCATGTTTATCAAAGTGAAAATATTATGCAAGGTGGCCTATAGACTAATTGCTTCCAGTGAGACTGCTTCACAATTTTGCTGACGTTGCTTCTGTTGCCCTGTGAATTTTGCTTTTGATAGTTGTGGGGATACATAAGAATGATCCAGTCATTAAATCTCCCTCCTCCTGATGTAGGCTCGAATCTCCTCATGATAAGGGGCCCTGATGCTCATGTACTCAGAGACAGCCAGTTAGATATGAAGAGGCAAAGGCCCAGGCCAATGATGCAGTGGGAATAGACAAAGTTAGTGGTTCTGCTGTTATCTGGGACAGGATGACAAATGGACAGGCATGCACTGTGTTCACATCCTATACGTGGCCTACAGCTTGCAGATAGCTATTGTGTAATTCTCACTCTTCAGCAGATTTAAAACCCATTCCTGATCTCTTTTTGCATGCACAAAACACAGCTTCTCATTGAACATTGTCAAAATAGAGCTCATATCAACCCACATCTGGAGTAGAATTTTACAGCTTCCATTGGAGGGGTGGATTTGTAGGCAGGGGCCCATCAACTTTCCCGGATGTATTTTCTGGAGCCTCCCTGCCTGCCTTAACCTGTCTGAAAATTTAAGACCGAGTAAAGATCGGGTCTTGGATATCCACCAATTGATTCCCTTAATTGGCCAATTACAGGCAATAAAGGGTCACTTCTCACCTAGTTTCAATTTTAAAGCTGGTGAGAGAAGACCAGGCTGAGGGTGATGGGGAGTCGGGGGATTATGTTTAACAGAGTTAAAAAAGTTAACTATGGGACTCTCTTCTCGAGAGAGAATGAGACCGAGGGTTTGAAGT